GGGCGCATTCAAAGGAGAACTAACTAGTTTGTGGTAACCGTGAGATCCAATCTTAACCACAAATCAAGAGATAAATTAAGAAATTTATAATTTTGTTAATTTTGAATTAAAATTATAATTAAAGGTCATTTTAGTTATTTTAAAATTTTTATCTCCTCTCTCTCTCCCCCTACCTCCGCCTTTCGACGAACACCATGTGATACCAAAAATACACCAAGATACACAATGTGATACCCAAAACACACCAAGTAAACTTTGAGACTACTGTGATACCAACTGTGGTACCACTGTGATACCAGGTGTCAGGAATGCTCACAGGTGGGTGTTTAGTGGTCGATCAATGGAGAGGCGTCTTGGTCAGACAAGAGACCGGAGAAGGTCACCGAAGTAGTGGTGGGTGCCGGAGAAGGCAACCGGATTTGGTCCTTATGTGTCCTTGTGTGTATGTGCATATATACGTATATTAAAATATTTAAACTAATTAAAGTGAATTGAAATATTTAACTAATTAAAGTAAATTGAATAATCAATACAATTTATTAATTTACTCGTTGTTTTATTTTATTAAATAACATTAACTATTAAAATAATTGGCTCATATTAAACCTTATAGTTACTACAAACTATCTAGTTCTCATTTGATTAGGCTCATATATATATATATAATATATATATATATATATGTTTACTTAGCTTTGATGTTTTGAATAAAATATATTGGATTCGTTTTTTTTTTATTTACAAAGAGTGTAAATGCAATCCCACTTAATTTGTTCTTGTTCATAATACCCAGACGTTAATCAAGAAAAAGAAATTACAAATTTAAGGACTGCTTACTAAATGTTTATCGGGTGTCAGTTACTTTACAATGAAAACATGGCAAAGACCGAGAAGATATAACAAGAATCGAGAATTTTACCGACGATCAATTTTGAAGCCGATAAATATTACCCAATAAGATAAGTAAGAGTTGTGACTCTTGCCACTAGACACTTACCCGATAAGCGTTTGGTAAACAACCGCCTAAAGTTTTCCTTAATCATGCTAAAACTCAAAAACTACAATCAATGTGCAATGTCTTTTATGTTAAACAAAGACGAAGAGTCGTGCGAGAAAAAGAGTTAACCTGATAAGCGTAAGAAAAATGATCTCCATCATTGATCACTTTTAATCTCATGTTCATTCATGAATTATGTTTAGAAGAGAATTGATCCGGCACATCTCAATGTATCACATTATTGTTGATTTTCATTTATGATTGATGCAATGGTGAATATACTTTCTTACTCTTCTCACCATAACTTCACTTCTCACAATAACTTCTTTTATCAGTGAGCACAACCCATTAAACAAATATATCAATACTATGCAAAAGAAAATTTTAATCCGTGTCTGTAAAATGACCTTCAAAATTCATAATCGTTGGAAGTGCTTTTCTAAGTTTACAAAATATTAGCAAATGACAAATATGCCCCTGTAATTAGATAATGGAAATACAAGATATATTTTGGACTATAGGGATGAATATAAAAACACGGGGCTCGGTCGGTCACGGGCAGCGACTGGTTCGCCCCCACTCACGTGACGTGTCCTCCTTCTCTCTCTCTCTAATAACAATTTTATCTTTATTACTTCATTTATCTTCATTTATCCTAAAATACATATTTATAATAAGAATCACATATGATTTATAAACATTTTAATCATTACTAGAATGGTACCCACATAATGTAGTGAAATAAATTTTTATTTTAATATTTAGTTTTTATTATTTGTCTTTATCGATATAGTACGATTTTATGTGGTTTTGAGAAAGCGATAATATTTTTATTTTTGAATGAAATATATATTTGAAAATGACATAAAAATTTGAAAAAAAAATCGATATTAATATCAAATTAACTATTTAATAGTTTTCGTTTTATTGGTATAACTTCTTAACTTCAATTTTTTATTATAATTTAATTTATTTTTAATAATAAAATAATTTATTTTTGGTTTAATAATATATTTTTTTAATAAAGATAATGATTAAACATGTTAGAACTCAATAACTATTTTAATTATATTTTATATTTTATATATTTAAAATGAATGTTTATCCTATATTTGACTATATTTATTTGTAGTTAGTTACACAAATTTAAAAATGAAGCTTTAATAAGTTGTACTTACGTAAAATTACTTGTAATCTTGAATTATAAGTAATATGTATCAATAAACAGTACTTTATGTATAAAAAACAGTTTTTAAGAGTTTTTATAAAATGCTTTATAATATAGTATAGATAGTTTTTTAGTTAACTAAATACCAAATAAACTTTTAATTATGTGATAAAAGAGTTAATGTGAGAAACGTAAGAAGGAATCTGGATCCTTGATTACCTTTAATTTCAAACTCATCCGTATCAAGGATTGATCTGTATATATCCTATAGGAAGTAGGAGCAAGGAAGTAGCCGAGTAGGAAACTCAATACTCAAAACACCAAAATTAGAAAGAAATATACTTTTTCTTGTATTTCGCTAGACCCGTAACCCAACCGAAATCTGAACCCGTATGATATTACAATATTACGAAGTTTGTCTAAGGGGCCGTTTACAAAAAACTTACCCAGTAAGTGCTTGGTAAAATTCAACACTATTACTTACTTATCGGGTAAGATTTTAGTCTACCAAAACGGTATCATATGTAATAATTTATTTGATAAGCTCTTACCATGATAAGAGTCATCACCTTCACTTATTGGGTAAGACTCTTGTTACCTGTCTCGCTCTTACCGAGTAAGACTTTTGGTCCTTGCCATACTCACCCGGTAAGGTAATATAACTTGGTAAATGTTTATCCGGGTAAGCGTTTGGTAAACGACCCCTAAGTTTATAGTTTAGATTTTTTTTTTCTTAATTAATTAAAGTAATATATATTTTACTCATTTTGACCTGGAATGAATCAATAGATCTTGTAATTCAATGACATTATCGATGATAAGTTGTCAAAGTATATTGTAATATTGTAGTTACATGGAAAAAATGCCTAGTCAAAATCAATCGAAGTCATGTACGCATAAAACATGTTTGTCGTGTAAAATTAATACAAAATAGAAAATGTTAGTCGTTACAACAATTTGTGAAAATTATTCACCCGTACATTAAGTCGAAGCTAAAACAAACTTCATTACATCATAAAGCATTTTGCGCGCTCTTTAAAATAATACAATCACTAGAAGAAAACTTGGATTTTATTATGTTTTTATAACTATTTCTT